TTAATAGTATTTGATTAGGACATGATTTACACTATATATATCTTCTGATATCCCCTAGCCCTTTTACGTTTTGAGAAGATCATGTTATATTATATTGCGTTTAGGTATATTTTGTATGCCAATTCCATACAAAAGATACATAATTTGGAAATCTGAGATCTGGTGTGGCCCACCAACACCGGGTAGGTGGTGGTGGGCGTGCCACGATTATATGTTTTCCGAGGTTTGCTTGCTACCTAGGTATGGAGACCATGTGATGTGATGCCAAATTCTTCAACCCTACCTGGGTAGGTCCAGCTACTTGTCCTTTCTCCTCCCCCAGTTTCTGTTAGCTTGCGATCTGGTCGGGTTGGCAGCGCTTCCTGGTCGTCCTGTTGGCATGTACTTTCTGAGATTCCATTGGATGATCCGTGACTATCTTCTCAGGCCTGTACCCATGTAGTTAACATAACTACATATGTAACTAACTAGATCAGACCTTTGCAGCATCGGTGCTAGTTGACACATCTTATATGTCTTACTAGGAAACGCCTTGGATGAGACCAATCCTCTCCGCACTTATTCGTGCTTCAGATGTCGACTGTGTCAATGATTCGGATCATCCCCCTTTCTATCAATTATACGGACTTTTCTTCTTTGTAGCCGTCATGTCTTATTAGACCTAGAGGATTCAGTTACGAGTCCTCGACCGTATCTCGAAACTGCCGTACCAGAAATGGTCCGTGGAAGCTTCGCTCTTGATATTATTTCACTTCCCATAGATCGACAATACAATACCTGGTGGAAGGTAAATAGATGACGGAGAAGACACTCAGAGACGCTCAGGGTATCTGACAACCCAAGAAGCCACTACTGTCTGCTTGTACAACAAGCCAGAACCTGATAAGACTTGGGATGCCGATATAATAAGTTTTATTAAGAGTCTATTCTTGAGTCACACAGGGCTGACACGAACAACGACAAGTATTGAAGCTACCTTTTTTTTCTTCTCTGCTAGGTAAGCTTCAATTTATATGGATCGCTTTGGTCAGTCAACTATAGGATCAATCAACATATACTCCTTGATTTGATAGATGAGCCTGGCCAAATACCAATACAACATACAATATACATGAAGTCTTTTCACACCGCTAGCCAAATCGAAGCCATTGCACTATCAAACCGGGTAACGGGCCGGTTCTCATAACGATCGTCTCGCTGCCAAGCTAATGTTTAGCTAATTGTTACCCCAAGAGATCACCGGCCGCCTCCGACACATAATCTAGAAAAAATTCGAAACTACGGTTTCCGCCCCATCGACGGTGGGGGCGATTCTTCAGCGCGCTATATATTTTCTCTAATCAAGCCAGAGGAAGGGGGGGGGGGGGGGGGGGGGGGGCC